TTGCAGGGGATTTTTTCAGATACTTCACCGACTCTCTGATATTTTAGATGATTTCATGAACCTTCTTTATCTCATCATGCACCATTATATTAATTATATGTACGCAACATCTTACATGAAAAAAAAACCACAAAAGTGCAGCTTTCCGCATGATTGAAAATTCATTTTTAAGAAACTAGCTGTCACATCATTATTACTCGCATTATCTAAAGTAATTGTAGAGATTTAATCTTAAAGCTTTCACTCCAACAAACACTCACAAATAGCATCACAAATGTAAGTGTCCGTATGTGGAGGCTCTAACTCAATAAAGTTGATAATAAACTTCTTAAACTTTCATATGTCATTATTGATAATAAATTTCTTAAACTTTCATATGTCATCAATATAATGGGCAGTCAAACACATATATCTGGTAGTCTGATTGAAGGTTCAATAATCTGCAGTTAATGACACTATGTAAACATCTTTAAGGCGAGATTTAAGTTTTTCAATCTCGCATTCGTAAACTTTCATGCAATCAATTTTTATGGTGTTTCTTAAAACACTTGAAAGTTAGGATTCAACATTTTCAACAATATAATGAACCAAGTATGTTAAACCATCATGAATGGATATTCATGTACAATTATCATTTTTTCAATCACCGCTTCTTCGAGTTGTTGATCATAATTTTCAGAATCTAGAAAATAAAAATCTCTAATTCACCATAAATTTCAAAAGGCAAGAAATTTAGCAACTTTTGTCTCTTGTATGATAAGTTAACTTGTTGTTGACTCTTTGCTTTTATCTTTGCACATTCTTTAACGTCTAAGAAACTGTGAGGTTGTACCTGACTTAGATTTGAGGATTTTCACCCCACAGCAAATACATTGAACAAATGATATTTCAACTCCCTTAGAATTTTATTTAATATCTATAAAATAGTCCCACACAGATGATTTTCTATTTTTGTCCTTCTTACCATATATTTCAGTACTAGTGCTTCTAACTGTCAATTCAACAAGTTGAAAACTATCAATTCATTCTTGTGTTACAAGTGACAATTACTCCTCATTTGACACAGATTAAGAATGTTCAACATTTGATATTGTAAATATTTATACACAAAAATATAATATCGCATGAGATTTCATGCATGGATGTACAAACAACAACAAACAAACAAATATTTGATCAAAAGATTAGTTTTCCAAAGCAATCATATAATTTCAAAATTTAGAAGTAAATGACCTTCAAATGAAAAACAAATTTAAATATATGGAAGGATTTGCTTCCACTTAACATGCTTTCTAAAAAAAAACATATACATTCAAGCTAAAGAATTGTGATTGTAAGAAACTGGACTTTTAAATAGCATTCAACAAAAAAAGTAGTAAAAAAATAACTAGCTTTCCTTCTAATATTAGTCCCCAAGGGTATTTAATTATTCTCATTCCACTGAAAGTTCATATACAATCCTTTCATAACCATAATATTTTCCCCATCTAGCTAGTGTAGGATAACATGAAGATAAACAAATATATTGTTAACTTACACAAATGAATAACATCTATTTATTAACAACTTGTTAGTAACAAGTTTTCATATCCATAACAAATATCATTATAACTATCATTATTCTCAAAACAACACAAATTGGACTAGATATTTGAAGTGTGTAAGAAAGATCGGAAAATAAAACATTTTACGTTCACTGTTTTCATTATACAAATGTACCCAAACAAGTGAAACAACCAACAAGTCTTTCAGCTCAAACATTTTGCTTTGCCTCTTCAACTCCAAATAAAGCAAGAAGAAACCAACATGAAATTAATTGTTTGGGTTTTGTCATGACTATTCTCTCTATTTGTATGTTGTTATTATCAAACCATTAACACATAAAAGCATAGATTATCATCAAAGGCACACGAAATAAACCTTTGTCATTTTCATGCAATTTATTTTCAAACCTCCTGACATTAATCGAAGAGATATAAAATAATTTGGACTATAGCAACATTAAATTAAAAATGTCAAATGAGGTATTAATATTTACATTCACTCACAATAAAATTTCGGTTATGTTTCTTTTGTCTTCAAAAGAACCAATACGTCATATTTTTTTCTCTCACATTCTTTCATTCTATACCTATCTCTCTACCCATATGTTTCTATGGCTTCAGATATCTGCACTCCTAACAAGCAATGGTGATGGAGATGCTTGGAAGGCTTGTGCCTTTGAGGGTAGCCACTGCTTCTATGAGTCACTAGTTGGTGTATATGATTTTTGATAGAACAAAGGAGACTCTAAGCTTTTGATTCCTCTTTTCTTTCTGCATATTTCTACATATTTTGGCAACCTATTTCTTTAATTGCATTGTATTCTTCACAAAACCATCCATAAAAAAACGGATCCAGAAGCAATAATAGGATCACAACACAAACTCTAATACTTGTATGAAACACCACACAAATGCACAACAACCGAGCTAAAGGTCACAAAAAACCCTTATATAAATAATGAAACAAGAATATTGAGCAAGGAAGCAAGAAGATAACACCTCGGTAGCCAAAGAAACAACCAAGCAAGAATATCGAGCGCAAAAATACCGAGCAATTGACTATCTGAGGAGAAATAGAAGATATTTTAAAAGACGAACACAAACAACAAACCTAAGCTCTCGCCGCCGAAACTCTTTTGCGATTTTGAGAGGAGAAGCAAATGACTCGGAAGAGGAAGAGAGCCGAAACAGAACTTTCGAGAGCAGACGAATACAAACGAGAAACCCTAAGTTCTCACCGCCGAAAACCTTTCACGATTTTGAGAGGAGAAAGAGTCGGATGAGGAAGAGAGCCGAACTTTCGAGAGTGGAGGCTGGAGAGTGAAGAGGATTAGGGTTTCTTTTGATATAAAGTTATATAAATATTATATCATAATATTTATATAAGTAATACTAATATATTAATATTAAAAATTTGTTATATATTACAATTTATATAACTTATATTATATATAAGTATATTACTAATTTAGTATATTAATATATTATTATTTTTAATTTATTATATATTATAATTTATAAAATTCAATTTTTTAAAATATCATAAATTTTTTATGTATAATTATTTTAAATTATTTTATTATAAAATTTAATTTTTTAAAATATCATAAATTTTTTATATGTAATTATTTTAAATTATTTTTCATTTCGAACAATAACGATTCAAACACGAACGGACGCATCATTGTTTGTGTTTGATTCGTTTAACAAACCAAACAAAAAAAATGTTCATGTTTGTCATGTTTACTTGTAGAAAGAATCGGACACGAACTATTCGCGAACAACGAGCTTTTTTTACTGCCCTAGTTGGAATTGGTCGACACTAATTAGTGTTGTTGCACCGTTGAGTCAGCATCGCTAGTTTTTCAACGGAATTTTTAATGGCAGATTTCTGTGACACAAATTTGAATGCTAATGCAAATTTGAAGCCAATGTCGATGCAAAATCAAGTAGCGACGTCCATTTTAACGTCAAAATTTTTTTCGACGCTAATTTGTCTTAGCATCGAAAAAATGTCCCAATCAGAGTCGGAAATATCTGATGCTAATCGAGCATTTTCTTGTAGTGTATTTCTATATTCAATCCTTAGCATCTCCCAGATAACATATAAGGCCACAGTTTCTGTTTGTTTGTGTGTGTGTGTGTATGTGTTGTGTTTATATATATAAATAATATATATATGTATGTATGTATGTATAAGTGTCAAAATGGTCTCTCAACTATTTAATGGGGGTCATTTTAGTCTCTGATCTTTAAAAAATATTAAATTAATCCTCAATTATTTTAAAAATTGGGGTTTGGTGTTGTTAAAAATAGAGGTAATTTTAAAATTATGTTTTTTAGGACGTCATGATTCAAAATCTAAGAATAAAGGTATTAGATAAGTATCAAATAATTATAGTTATTTAAACATAACCAACAAGATAATACTTGTTTAATTATGATTAATTAAAAAGTATCAAATAATTAAGAATATTCATGATTATTATCTCCCTTCTTTAAAGAACATTAACGTAATTTTATTAATAATTTTTTATACTTATAACAATTTTTGAGTGACAATATACTACTGATGAAATTAAAGCATTTTATTTCATATTTCTGCTAGCCAATTATTTAAAAATATGCATAAATAATTTGTATGCCTGAATGAATATACAATGATTTGTGTCTTAGGTCATATTTCATGTCATAAAAATAGTTTAGTTGAGAGATAGAAAAATAATAATTCAAAAAAAAAGAACTAACAAAAGCAAAGAAAAAAAACATCAGTAGTGAATTATCAAGAAAAATCCAAAAAAAATAGTTGAATCATTGAGCATTTCATAAGGCATACTGGAGAGCATCGATATAAGATTGGAATCGAAGGCGTACATCCCCTAACTACGCAAGGTGTCATGCAAGCTCCATCGTCCTTTTCAATCATTGTTGCCCTGAAATGCCTTGTCGACGCCCCTCAAATTGAAGGCTTCAACACCCGCTTGTGTTGGCTTCACTACTTGATCATTCTCACCGCTCGACTCCCTTGAAATGTCCTGCTCGTTATGTTCACCTCGTCTAACAAGCCAAAACACCCCCCTTGATCATGTGAAAGCCCTATACCTTTTCGTCGGCGATATGTTTGTAAATCAGGTAACAAAATATTAAAACTCCAAAGTACCCCATCGACCGGCAGAATTTTAACCCAAATTTCAGATTTTTTTAAAGATGAGACTACTTCAACCACTCTTAAAATAGTAGGGGACTAATTTGACACTTTTTAAAAGTCAGGTACTTAAATGACCCCTTTAAATAGTGGGAGGCCATTTTGTTTGTTTTTGACATGATGTCTGATGATTGAATACTTATATTGCTCTCTATATATATATATATATATATATATATATCAGCAGAATGATGAAATTTTTGTCAAATAAATTGATGGATTAGCTGACCAAATAGCATTATTTGACTTACAGGTAGAAGATGATGAGACTGGCAACGAGTCAGGCAGCATTGATGCTGAATCCTTGATGCTTTCTCTGTCTTGCACTGGCAACGTGGAATCAAAAAATACTGTATGTGCACTCTGTGCGATCAGTCGTGGTGAGTTGTATCCCTTGTGCGGGGATTGGTTAGGTGCAGCTGAATTTGAAAAGTAAGCTGGTTTGGAGTCAATTCTATGATCAGAAGCATGTGACAGTGTTCGAGACAAATATTTACAAAAGAGACAAGGTGGCTGAAAATCATCTTGATCTATAGTAGGGGAGCAAGGTGAAAGAGAACCAGTATTATAAGGGCATTCTTCAAATGGAGAAGAAGATGGAGAGGGAGAGGGAGAGGGAGAGGGAGGCGGGCTTGAGGTATCTAAGGATGAAATTGAATTGTTGAGGTAAGAAGTCAAAACTACAGATTTGACTTCACCAAAAACAGAATGATTAAGGCCAAGATTTTGTACATGTGAGCCCATAATAGCGTCAGCTAGTTGTCTCAATCTTTTAGGTAAAAGACTGCCACTCCCATAATCAGACAAAATGGAAGCTTGAAGTGTAACGGGAGGCGATATGGTTGAACCATGGACATTTGTCATCTGTACATATATATTCTGCATGCACAGTGGAAAAGAATTCGGAATTATAATTATTGAATATAAATATGCATGAAGAGTGATGAAAGGGTAGTTACCTCATTCGGTCTAAGATGCAATCCTAATTTAAGCTGCTCTTTTAGTTCATTCATATTTTCCTGGATATGACCGATGGAGTTGCTTACTGTGAAGTTAAAAAGAGCATTCGTCCTCTCCCAAATAGAAGATGTTTGGGGAGGAATGACAGTGATCCCACCAGGAAACTTCAAAACCTCAAAAGAAAATGTTTCTCCAAAAATAGATGGACTCAAAGTAAGATTAATTTGCTGGAGAACCAACTCAATCAAAGATGATCTCAACAAGCTGAGCGCTGGTAAGCTTATGGAGGCATGTCTTGGTTCAGGAAGAACACCAAAGGCAACAGAAGTAGACTTTTTTGAAGTGGTGGGTTGCATAGAAATTATAGAGACCTGTGAAAATAACCGACCTAAGTTAGCATATGATCTAGAATAAAGTATTTCAAGCAGCCTGAAGTACTAGTGTAGTACCTTTGAATTAGGAACCCCTATTTCCTCGAGGATATCATATTCAAGTCTTTTAATGTGCATAGTGAGGAGTGACAATGGCTTTTGCAGAATGAAACCAGCCTGTATTTCAGCTGAACAGCAGCCAAAGACAACATACATATTACTAAATATCCATGCTATCAAATTTTATGATAAAATGCTCATCAAACACAATCAATTTACAAAAAATTATATCTATGGCTTCGTCCATGTGTGCTAGATATCCAATAAACAGAGAAACACGTTTTGGTTTCTAATGGTATGCAATGACATAACTTTTGACTGTTCAAATGTTCTCCTGGTTTAGTGTGTTGCAAAGAAAATGACAGTTCATGAAAATAATCTTATCCAGTGAAATTACCTTAATTAGGTTAATAAAAAGTTTGCATGTCTACATTGGAAGACAATCTTTTAACCATGTTCTCTCCAGGATCTCAGAAAGCATAGCAAATTCACCTTGAATGTACCAGTTAATATCAGCTTTAAGCTGATCTTCCTATTCAACCTTCAAAAGAGGGAAGTTTCAGGCAAATACAATTCACCAGCCTTTACAACCTTTCTGCCGGCCTAACTGACTTACCATCAACTATGAATAAGTGAGGAAAGTGCTGCCTTTATTGCGTGCATTAGAGGGTTTCGGAAATATGGCTAACTAAACTGGGGGGAGGGGAGAGTTTTCCTGGGATGCATGCAACTCTGAGACACTTAAGGGAAAGGTCCGCCTCACATTGCTTGAGTGATAGCTAGCCAGAAGGGCCAGAAAAAACAAGTAGAAGCATGTGCCTTTTAGGATAATTTAAAATTTCTAAGTTAGATCTGAAAACTGTTGTACTTTGCAAGTATAAAATAGCGCAGACTTACTACAAAAATTTCAAGTATGATATACTTTGTTACATGTAGAGGGGGCAAACCACTGTTTCGCATGATACAGATTAGTCGCTTTCCTTCATGCCCCTACCGTCTTTATTACTTTTGGTTTATAAACATTTTCAGTCATGTTCTATCCATGCTTTCATGACATCATTCATTCAGTATGATTTGTGTTTTTCAAGGTTGTTACCTCCCTGATTGAATCTTTTTTCTGTGATGAAATTTTGGTCAAAATTAATCAATCGAAAAAAAAGTTGACCGACAGTTACCTCCCTGATTGAATCTTTTTTCTATGATGAAATTTTGGTCAGGACATCATTCATTCAGTATGATTTGTGTTTTTCAAGTTAGTTACCCTGATTGAATCTTTTTTCTATGATGAAATTTTGGTCAGTGATATTTATTGTCCTTCAAATTTATGCACATGTCCCATTTCTGTTCAAGTTTACCGCATATTTTGCTTTAATGCTTTTGCTCCATCACTAAATAAATCACTGCACCTAGAAACATCTTAATCAAATCATCCTTCTCCAATAGTAATTTGAGAACATGCCCTTGTGTAGTTAACTTGATATTAAAGGTTCGGTATTTTCGGTTAGCATTAATCAAACAACATTCTTCTCTTCCCTGCAAATCCTTAAAAAGTTTTTTATAGCATTTTCGATACTATAATTCTCTATCCATTCTATGATGAGGGACAATAAAAGACTCAAAAAATTCTTATCCATCAGCAATTGTTGGGCCTTGCGGGGGAACAAAGTGATAATCATAAAAATGAACGCTAACAACAAATATAAGAACACTCTGAACTACAAGTTTTTGTATTTGATGATAGTAAACTTTGTTTGACGATCATTAGTTACATGAACAAACTTGAACAGATGCTAAAATAAAGACCATGCTAAAAAAAGTCAGCGTATTAAGCATTTAAAAATAAAAGATCAACTTGGTTGAAGATCATTGAGCACATTAATATCTCTCAAAGAACTAAGAATAAAACAGTAATCATGATTAAAAAAAAAAGAAAAAGTTCCCCTCTCGAGTCTCTATAAATAAAAGTTCCGTGAAACACAAACAACATCAACCATACGGGCTTCAAATCCACATCCTACAATGGTTTTAGCTGTGCCAGTAAAACATAATATGTTTCAAATGCTGTGATATTGTGTGACAATAGGTGAAAGCTACAAACCTTGCAAGTAGTTTTTAGCACATGTATTAGAAATGATAGATTAAAATGTCACCAAATAACCAGAATGATGAACCTGAGAAATTTCTACATTATGAACAGTGAAAGTGAATAGCAAGTAATTGAAGAAAAAATCAAAGACTGCCCAAACATGCAATACGATAAACATGTCATACAAAGTCAGCTACTGCATATGAGCTAAGATTTTGGAGTGAATAAAACAATTCAGAAAATAAGAATAGCAAGTGTGAATGATAAATAAAGCCCGCCACAGCATCTAGACCGTGCTTAACAAAAATAAATAAATCTAATTACAAGAGAAAATAATAAAAATATCATAGAACAATATGCATAGATGCCAATAATTTACAGTGTCATAAACTTGGAGCAATATTTCCACGAACCAAAGTTAGTGCAGCCAATAGGATGTTCAAAGATGCAGTTTCAAAAACAAAGCAGAAGCGGTACGCATCTCAGCAATAAGTTCAAGAATCAAGATGAGACACGCGGATGAAAATAGAGAAAAAAATGATCCCCTTGAATTAAAACACGTTACCGAGTAGTAACCAAAACATCATAGTAGCAATCATAACCATGAAAGTGTTCCAAACTGCCAAAAGTAGCAAGGAACAATTTAACTAATAGCAACCGGCGCAGCAGCAGCATGAGATAACTAATACAGCCAAATCACCAAGAAAGCGCCACAACGAACATTAGCATCTCAGCTACTCTCAAACGCTAACTACATCAAACACGCCAGCTCCACTCCGCAAGCAAAAACAATTCCTAATAAAAAACCAATTTCAACATTGATAAAATTAGTTAAGGAGACACACCAGAAGCCGCCTCAGCGTCATCAGGAACGAACCCGGAGCGGAAGCGTATCATCGGAACGATCCAGAAGATGGTGGATATAAGGACGCCGATGGTGAGGAGAAGCACTATACCGCATCTAACGCTGGAAAACCTTCTAATTCCCGCCACAAAGGAACAAGGAGCGTCGGCGACGGCAGCTGTCTCCGCCGCCGAGATCCCGATATCAAGCACCTCGGGCTTTCCCATCAAGGAAGCATTGGCCACTCCGCTTGACTCGATCAAATCGAGTAGCGCCGACACGAATCCCTAAACTATTCGGGAGCGAGATCGCCAGTCTATAGCAGAACGGGAGAATGGAGCGGCGCCGATGACCATTGGACACTTTCGCGCCTTCCTCGCTTGCTTGTTCTTAAATAAATAATATTTATTTCGTACTGTTTAGGGCATTCTATTGATATGATAATGGATAGCCCATATTTTTATTTCTTATTTTGTAAAATGGTTAATTATTAGCCGTGAATTACACTCCAAGAAATTAGAGAGTGGATGGTGATGAACACTTAATCTTGTGTTGATTAGTCTCATCAATCATTGCAGATTTAGCTACTATTCGTTTATGAAATGATCTTCATATTTATAAAGATTAATGAACTATTATTTTATTTATAGAGAAGAGAGTACAATATAGTAATGTTTATATTTTTTCTCTTGTTTTAATTAAAGATGTACAAAATATTATAAGTAGTTTTGCATCTACGAGTCAATCGCTAGGCTACTCTCATGCTCGATCGGTTGAGCTTGATTGGTTTCAAGTTGGCATGATCAGTTCGTTCAACTAGGTTTGGTTGACATTGTTGATCGGCTTGTCTAGTTTGATAGTCAACCCTCAATCTCTGATGAGGAACAGTTGTTGGCAAATAATGCTGTGAGTGAATCATTGTAACCAGATAGATAAAACACTCCTCAACGAGAGGAGACTTTGAGGGATGGCTATAGACTTTTTGCTGCATTGTTAATTTTTTATCTCTAATGAGGAGTCCCGAGGATGTCCGTGAGATGACTATTAATATCGTGAAAATGCATCTTTCCTCTGATATGATTTGTTAGAATAGTAGCTTGTTATATTGGATCGGCTTTCTTGTAGTAGTTAGCTCATATATTTGCTTGTCTCACTAAATCATAATGTTTCAGGCTCAGCGGTGGTCTTCTTGTCCTCTTCATGGCTCGATTGTTTTTGGCTTTAGCTCGAATGGTTTTATCCTATCAACTTTTGGCTTTTGCTCAAACTGTTGCATCAGTCAGATAAGTGGGCTCTGAGTCTTCTATCGATGGGCCATCATTCCTCATATTCCCCCACTTCCCAATCATTAGAATCCTCATAATTAGTGCCGACACATGTCTCTTACTTAAGAATTTAGTTATGATTTATAAATTCTATGTCTGGTGGGAAAAGTCACTCTAAACTTCCCCCTCCATTTCGTAAGGAAAAATTTGTTTTTAGTATAATTAAAATTCAGCCAGCTCACCTAATTTTAGTTAGAGTGGGCAAGCTTTCACAATTTATTAATTGAACCAAGCTTTCATTTGTTTGTGGATCCTTCTCAAATAGCTCATGCGCGGCTCGTAAAGTTTAGCAAATGTGTTGAATATGAGTAATTTGTTTTTAGCTTAGTTTGTAAATAGGCAGAACACAAATGATTTTTTATTTGCGCGTATTATTTTAGCTCAATTTTATTAAATAATTAAATAAATAATATTTATTATAATTAAAAATATAATTTTTCTTATTTTTAAAATTATTTGTGCCGGTTATGAGCTAGAAATGAATAAATTAATTTGAATCGAGATAAATACAAATATGTTATTTTAAGCCAATTCGAACTTCAACTATTTTTAAATAAACAAAAATATGTGGAACATGCTGAACAAGAACAAGCATTGTGCACGCTCAAGCTCGACTTATTCATACCCAAATTTCTAAGGATAAAAGCAAATATGAACAAGTCTATTTTATTCATTAATCATACTTAATCATAGTAATTAGAATTATTACTATGAAAAAAAATTCAATTTTGTAAAAAAATTCAGAAAATATCTCTTAGAAATTATATTGGAAATGTTTAATTCGGGTATGTTTAGGACAGCGATGCGGTGGTAGTCCACCATTGCACCAAGCTTGTAACGTTTGACAAAACTGCATTTTGCCTTTTTTTCCAAAAACTGTAATGAGAAGCTGTGTTTGACAATCTAATCATGTAAATTACGGTGACTGCAAAAAGACTATTATCTCAATTTTTGAAAATAAAATAAAATTATAATAATCACCACAGTTTTTAAGACAATCATTTTTCTTGCAGCTATCCCAAACAGATCTTTAGTTTCGTGTTGCGAGAAAAGAACTTCTATAACATTGAACAAATATGATGCTACACACAAATAAACCAATCATGGATGCGTTATAGGTCGCAAATTCATCCACCGCAACAATGCAGTATCGTTTGAGTTCATCTTCTAAGAACATAGATTATTATAAATAAAGTAGTGGGGACTTAAAAAAGGAGACAACACTCACATTTGATATCAAACTTCTGCATCCATGCATTTGGACGCATCTTCAATCACTTAATTTCTTTTTATCATGTCTATTGCGTTCAGTTAGGTACACTCTTTATAATTTTATCTTCTTCAATTTTTTATATTTATCCACACTCACTCATCATATCATAATGAGTACGTGTCGTCAAACCAAATTGCCTTAAATTTTAGGGGTTTTTAACTTAAATACAACAAAAACTTATATTTACTTATCTCACATCTGAACTTAATATTTACAAATATTATATAAAAAGTAGCACTTATTATCACATTTTAGTAGCGAGATCTATCTTTTTCTTCTGTAGGTAAAGTGATAAGAATGAAAGTTTAGATGTGAGGTAAATCCATGAGAATTGGGTGCTATGTATTTAATTTTTCCTAAAATTTGTGCCTATATTTTGCTTATTGAGATACATTTTTGATGTCCTCAAAGAGTATAGAGAGGTAATTTTTATTAGGGCCATTTTCATACATACCGCACAATTCTTATGTATTTACATCTCTAAGACTCAAACATTTATTTTTACATGCATACGATTCAAATGTGTAATATCACATTAAGAATATCACCATCATTATTTTTTTAAAAAGTGAAATACTTCTTTTCATGTATAGATTTATGGTACCAAGGTGTCATGTGTAAAAATAAAATTTTGGGTGTTCGATGTATAAATACCTAAGAATTGTGTGGTGTGTGTGTGTGTGTGTGTGTGTGTATTACTTTCTTAAATAAAGGAAATCTTCAACACTTACGTTGAGATCGAAATCACTAAATATTTCACTAAAATAACAATCATATCCTATAAAATTGAGATGTAAGGAAACAAAAATAGTAACAAAAGATTTATCCTTTTAAAGAAAAGAGAAACAAGAGAAAGAGAAGTGATGATAATTAAAAAGGGCAAAAAATATTTGCTAAAGGAGAGATCAGTCCTTTGTGTTCACGTTCGAGGATGCATATATGAGGTCTTAAGTAGGACCCAAAGTACAATCGATCTAAACATCATTGATAAATGTTGAATAGGCACTATCTAGGGCGTAAAAAAGTCGGGTCAAACACGAGTCATTTTAAACTTGAACTTGGCTTGCCTGACATTCGACTGGCTCAAATTCGAGCTCAACCTTACCTTGTCAGAATAATAAATGTCTCAAGCTTGATGTGATTTCATGTGGAAGTCTATTATTATTTTAGTTGGTTTTTTATTGTTGTTTCTGGAATTGGATATCTTGACTCTCTTCTTACTTTGATGTGATTTCACATGGAAGTCTATTATTATTTAATGTAGTTTTGATGTTGATTCTTCTGGATTTTCCTTTGGCAAGCTCTTGAAAGCTAAGGGGTGTGTGTGTGTGTGTGTTGTGTGTTGTGTGTTGTGTGTTGTGTGTGTAACCCTAAGGGGAATGTACTGTTTTTCGTGAAATCGAAAGAGCCTCCGCCGCTATTCGCCCCATATGATGCAGGCATCTCGCCAGACCTCGTAAAATCTCTGTGTTTGATCTTTATTTTTTATGGTTATTGCTTTTGCGTTTCTTTATCATAATTTCTCAGCATTTTTCTTGACGGGATGGTTTTACTTTCGATGTTTATTTCTTCTTTTGTAGGTATTTCAATCAATTTTTTTGTTGGTATTTTACTTTTTGTAATTAATTAATGAATTTAGTTGTGCCTCTTTTTCCAAAAATAGAGAAACAATATACATTTCCCAAATGAATTAATTATATAATAAATATTCCTATGATAAATAAGTCAAAAAAAATATATCAAACAAATGTAATTTTGAATAACATAAATAATATTTTCCCATGAGAAAATTGAAATGCCTAATTGTTTGTAAAATAAATAGGCTTTGGAAAGATTATCAATAGAAGTTTATTACCGCACTTTTTACTTGATTTTGGTAAGAATTTTATGCCATTAATGAAAAATTATTAGGTGCGAAATAAGTTTTATGTGGATTTCATTGTATTTAGTTGTATTGATTGTATCAATACAATTAAAATACAACAAAATCGGTATCTAGTTACTCCACATTTAATAATTGATCGTTATTAAGATAAAATATTTCGTTCGGACACCACAAGTCTGAATGACTAATTACCAACGGTCATGTCGTCATACACGTCATAATGGACGTCATGACCACAGGTAATTAGCCGCAGACTCTCAAATGGAATATTTTTTTACTGTGACAATCCCAGTCCTACCAAAAAAGTTTGTGATCACAACTCTATAAAAAACCATTGCTCTAATTCTCATATTTTTTTTCCCGGGGCCGAGTCCATTGTTGTATCTTTTGGAAAAATATTACATCAGAACTCCTAACATCGAGTTACGTTCAGAGTCCAATAAAATCACGCTACGTGGCGGGGACAAAAAATAAAATAAAATATATCCGATAACACAAGAGAATATTCTTCTCGTGTCATTCTGGTGCTATTGTCTGTTATTCAAATATTGTTGATGTGTTAATTTTTTATTATAACATTGAGAATATGGAAGAATATTCGTGTTTCTGGATGGATTTTTATTTTTTTCCTATTTACCCCACGTGGAGCTTGCGTTTGGAGTCGTGACAGAATATAGAATATGCCCACACATCCTGTACACTCGTCTGCATCTCTGGCTCCAGTCTTCATATTCTGGGCTTTCGTCTCCGCTTTCGGCCATTGCCTCTCCACCTAAAGAATCAGAGCTAGCACCGTTGCATCGGTTCGTCTTTTATCGCTTCGACGCCTCTGACTCCACACAAGCAGGTAATGAGATGTTAATCTGAGTTAGATCTGTATTATTTTCACCATATCACAATG